AACGCATACTGTCGAGAGGCTGTGTGTGTGTGTGTGTGTGTGTGTGTGTGTGTGTGTGTGTGTGTGTGCGGAAAGCGTGTGCATTTTGCGCTGCACAGCTAAAACGCATAAAAATTGTTGCTTAATTTAGAGCAACTTTTTATCCTGGAAAAAAAATCCCATGGCTAATTATCGCCGTGAACCTGGCCCTTTATCTTATTTTTTTCAGATTTTGTCAGAAAAATTATGCTTGTGCTTCTCGAAATTTTTTCTAGAATCCTGTGAGAGAATTTTGCTACGCTTTTTTTGTTTCTTCTGGATTATATCCGCCTTTTTGCAGTGCCTCAAGCGTCCGCGTTACGTCCGTTCAGATGTATTCTTTAAAATTTTGATTTTTCAACTTTTAGAAATACTAACTGGTAAGAGAAATGAATTTTGGAAAGGCGCAGCAAAACAATGAATCACCTACAACCAGTCATCAGCATTTGTATAAAATGAAAAGTCCGAACTGGAAAAATGAGTTGCGCAAGGTTTTTTTTTTTTTTTTTTAAAGCATTATATTGTTTTGCTTCTGGTATTTTCTGTGGCCACACTTTTTTAGCCCATAGTTCGAAATAGTTAAATTCATTCATTCATTTCTATGATAAATTACTACTAATGAACGCAGAGGGTCAAACTCGCCATCAGCTTGCTTCTGTAATCTTCGAGTAAATTGGTTATCGACAGCCTCCTCAGCGTTTGGTTCCTTTTGGTACTACTCGAGTTACTTCCCACTGCATCCGTCGTTTGTAAAACTGAGTAGGAGGAGGAGAGAGAAAGCTGACTTTCGTCTTTGTATTCCTAACAATTAAAAACGTGCTGGATTTATTTGTTTCCTTTCTAATACAGCTTGTCAATGATTTTGGCACCATTTTAGCAAAGAGTTTATGTCAGTGATGCAAATTTTTGGCATTTTTTCTTCCCACACCAACAGTTGCGGCCTCTTTTTGAGTGAAGTTTAGTGTTCTTTTTCCATTCAGCGTGGGAAGGGTTTCGAAGTTTTGTGGATATCACCCTTTTCTATTTCATTTGATTTCGGTTCATTTGATTTGATTTTGTGGTTCGGTGTACAGAAACGATCTTTCAGAGCTTTATGCAGCGGTTTCACGAGGATCGTCAAAAAGCATTAGAACATGGCCGCGTTGGACTTGAATGTACCGGAAGCAATGTATTGATGGAGCGCATCATTCAAGATGAGATTAATTCATTGCTCGCATGCGAACATGTTAGTACGAGTGAACTGAATGAAGCGATTGAATCGCTTGAGAGATTTCGGGAAGAAGTGCTTCAGGAAGGCTAGTTTTTTTTTTGCTCGTTTGAAACTACTCAAAGCTATCGTTTAATAGAATTGTGATCTTTTTATTGAAATTTTTTATGTTAATTTTTTTAATGTTAGATCTGAAAACAGAAGGTACTGAATGGTATTTATGCTTTGAAATTCTAATTAGCTGTTATTTTCACTGACAAATTATTGCTTGCCATTGATTTCAAAGACCAAGTGTTCGATTACATTCATAGATATTCACAATTCACAAAAAAAAAGAGTTTTAATCGCTACAGCATATCTCTTTGAATTTTAGAAGTTGAATTTATGTTGGCCGAAGAACAAAAACGATTGGAATCTTTGGATGCTACCGAAACTGTTTTATGTCCAAAATGCCAAGTAAAAATTTAAGGCTTTTTGTTGCTTCCAGCAGTCCTCTCTTTTTTATTAATATATTTACCTTATTCTGAAAAAGATGTAATGGAATTATTCTGGTTTTGATTTATAAGCCAAACTCTGCAATTGTTGTAATGGTGTTCAGAAAATTGGGTTACGCGCTCAAGTTTGCGCTATGTCTGGTCAGTGTTTACAGCTAAGAGATGAAACACAGACTGCTTCGTAAAATGTTACGTGATATTTAGATTAAAAGGGGATCCCTTATCCTCTTTTTTGATAGTATGTATCGCTTTTGTTCAAATTGGATTTAATGTACTATTCACCATACTGAACAAAGAGTAGCATGTCTCTTTTGCCCTATTTTTAACCTAGATTCGCTTCAACCAGGAGTTTGCTGTAGCTTTCAAACACTAAGAGCCAATTTAAAAAAATGCCCCTGTTTTTTCTTACAATAGTATACATTTTTCCATCATGCAGGATTTATATGTATGTACCGTGCCTTTGGATAAGAAATCTGACATAGAATTAGCGTACCAATTTGTAGTGGTTTCTTTAACTAGCACTTCTTTAAACCCTCAAGTTTCCTAATT